CTCCCCCACACCCACACCCTCCGCCCCATCGCCACCTCCCCAACAAAACCCACATTGCACCGGCGTCATGTCCGTGTGGTTTGTCTTTCCATTACGAAGCCCTCCCCACACCCACATCCACATCGACAACCCATCCCTGCCCGTGGGCGCTGTTGCCCTTACCCACCCACCCACCTGCCCTGCCCTTTTCCCCCCTGCCTCCCCCGCCCCAGGTGTTCACCCACCAACACATCGGGAAGCTATCCCAGTCTGCGGCCTACTGGGCCTTCATACCCGCCTTCGACCACACAGCGCATTTGCCGGAACAGCGGCTCGTGACGGGTACCACACTGCTGGGTGGGTGGGCGGGGGGGTGGGGGATGGGGGGTGGGGGGGAATTGATTGCTATAATACTGTAGTACACTGTTGCACTTCAGGAGTTCGTTTTTCTCGTACGGGCTGCTGTTTGTTGTACGTCCTCCCTGCCTGCCCCGGCTGCGGGCATGCCACGTGCTTGTGTATACGTGTGTGTTTGTATGTGTGATGTGTGAAACAGGGGGGTGTATTTCGCCCGTGGCTGCTATACCCTGCGAAACCCTACCTTTCCCGGTATTTCGGGGTACCCTTATCCAGTCACCCTGGTCAACTTCTCAGTGGATCGCTCAGGTTCCGCACCCACCACCAGCATTCAACGGAATCTGCCGGGTCGACAGCGGCCCAACTCCGTTCCTGATCGGCTCGCAGGTTAACTTTATCCCAGGACACCACCGTCCATCAACTAGGGCACCATGCCTTCCACCATCGGAAGGACCTTGACCCTAGTGGGTATCGATCCCGGGATCTCCTGGGGCCAATGGTCGCGCCTTACCAGTAGTGCCAAACACTATATTATTATTGTATTATATATGTATGTATGCGCCCACTGTTGTCGTACACAGAGCTGTACGAGCGGCGGAGTCTTTGCCCCGCCACCCTGCTGGTGGGGCTTCAGGCTCGAGCAGCTCTGCCCCTGCCGGCGTGCTTCTTCAGGTAGGGGTGGGGGGGATGGGGGGGTGGGTGGGGGGGTGGGTGGGGGGGG